TGTATTTAGGAATTCATCATTCTTTTCATTAATGTTAATTCCACTTTCTAAATTACTAAAAACCCGATGTCTCAGCGAAGAAAACCTAATCACAATCACTAGTTTACAATGTCTTGTCTCCCTAGCAATTAATCATGCATTGTAGTGAACAGAAGCTTAAAGGCAACCAACTATCATACTCCTATGTCTAGGTTGGTAATATACTTTTGGGAGAGATTCCCCAGATCTAGATTTCCCCGTATGTGTTCATATTGACAAAACCAATAATCATGACATCGAATGAGTTAAACAATGCATGCTTTGAGCAAAGAGGAAAAACCCTAATTATTAATGAAAGAAAGCATGTATCATAAAGATGATTTTTAAGAACAAATTCCATACAAGAGAGTTTCTAAGGATTTACATTGATTCCCCAAGAACAAAATAAGTTTAGTTCACCATATTCATGGTGAAACTAGATGAAATACAAGGGAAAAGTGAAAGATAGAACCCTAGAAAGTTGAGAAGGGAGCCTTAGCATCCAAAATCCTCCTCCAAGGGGTGAAAGAGTTTGTTTTTTCTTCGTTCCAGCCAAAGATGCAAACGCTAAAATGTCCTAAAGCTTATATACTATTCTAAAAAATACAGAAAAGTAGGCCCAAGCCCAGAAAAGTTCCGCTCAACGGTAGTAGCGCGTTTCACTTCTTCCCCTCAGTGCCAATTTTCCTCTCAGCAGTGCCAACAGGTACTGAAAAGTGCCGCTCAACGGTAATTGGTGTTGAGCGGTACTTGCTTATTCTCTTCTTTTGCAGTTTTTGTGTCCTTTTATGTCTCCATCTCTTTCCTACTTCACTTCTTTCATCAAATTCATCTTTAAACCTGCAAAAACAAGGAAATCAAGCATAAAACATGTCCAACTCTGTTATTTCCAATAATTCAACAAAATCATGAGTTCAAACTCATTTCTAAGTCATAAAGGTTGCAATTGAAGTAAATTTTAAGTATAAAAATAACAGTTTTTCAACTCAGGAGCAAATAGAGATTCTTGTGTGTTTGGAGTTGTTTTATGTTTTATAGAGTGGTTTGGTCATATGTCATGTAAGGAAAGATAACTACCACTCTTTAATGTTGTTAATATTGTGATAAACTGTGCTACATGTTTGTTTTGGTCTGAAATTGGTTGTTTAACATGTAGAAATTTTGTAAGGTTGCTTGTTTGTGTAGCTTGTATTTTGGTTGTTTTGATGTTGAGTTGAGGGACTGAGAATCTAGCCATTTGAGCAAATTGGTATTCATTATAACATCTAAAATTGTTTTTGAATCATGCACTCAGTTAGGAATACTAATTTGATCATCACAATAGGTCACTAGTCCCTCAAATCACATAACTGAATATGCATGTTTCTAATATGACGTTGAGCGGTACTGGTATAGTGTTGAGCGCAGGTTTGGATGTGAAGGTCTGCAAACATTTTTGCTTCAGACCATTGAGTGTCATCCTTTCACTGTTGAGCGGTCATTTTGCGAATGGTTTGGTGTTGAACAGTGACTTTGTACCGCTGAGCGTTAATTACAGCTGCAATCTGGAACCCTTTCTATGTTTTTTTGCTAAGTGGCAAGTTGTTTGCACTGAGCGAGAGAAAATGTAAGAGCTCTATCATTAAGAGCCAAAAACTAATGTTGACCGCTCCCTGTTGTGAGGGGCTTTACGCTAAGCGTCAATCTGAGCGCAATGTGGTTTCCTATGTTTTTTGATTTTTTATCTATTTGAATGGTTTATTTTAGATTTTGTGTACGATTATTATGGATTTGAGATGAATTATGGTGCTTATGCATGCTTAATATGTGTGATGTTGTTTATATGGATGTAGAATATGATTTGAGATGTTCTTGAGGGGAGAAATTATGTGATATGGTAAAGTTAGTGTATGTTTTAACATATGGGAGTTTTGAAAGTAAGGTATCCTAAACTCTAATAATTATTCACATTCAAATAGAGTAGAATGCGTTATATGGTGAGAGTCGTAGGAGGTCCTAGTCTATAGACACTGGTAGGTCATAGGCGTGCATGAGTAGTAGGATGATAACCCCTTTTGTTTAGAACTTTGCAGAATATAAATACTATTACGAGTGCATACCTACATTGAATACATATGTCAAAGCATAAATATGGATAATCGAATTAGTGTTAACTGTTGTACAAATGTATGAATTTGTGGTTTGTTTCACATATGTGATTAATAAATTGGTACATTATAAATGTTTATATTAAACCTTTTGGTACATTATCTTACATTTTAGTTTTGCTTGTTTGTTTGTTTTTCTTGTTTGTAATAATTACCTGATTGGTGTGAGTAGATGAAGATCTTCTAGTTGATTCGGTGTAAAATGAGAAAAATGTTGCAACTTAGTTTTGAATTTGTATCATTCCTTTCCTTTCAAAAATTTATATTATATAATAAAATGTTTCTATAACTAGTACATGCTTTATGCTTTATGGACGCATGTAATGATATCTATATCTAGTTTGATTAATTATCATTTTTATAACATTTATTTTAATAGTTTTACACTATTTTATCTACCACAATAAAATACAATCATATATGTAAAATTAATCCAACATTTTTTTTCTCTTCATGCTTTGAAATTTCAAATATTACTGTATTCATTCAATATAGATTTTAGGCTTAAATGCTTACTTAGTCCCCATGTTAGGAGGTAATTTTCTGTTTAGTACCCGATTTTAAAAATGTAGACATTTGGTACCTATGTTTTGAAATTTGTACCAATTCAATCCTATCAAGTTAACAACGTTAAAATTGATAACGTTTTCATGACTGTGGATGTGATTTGTGCAATAAATTGCGTCGTGGCAATGAGTTGGCTTAAGTTTCTTGACGTGGCAGCCAGAATTGGGGATTTTAAACGGGGTTATGTTTTTTAAATTGGCAAAATAAAGTAATTAGGGTTTTTTATTGTACAATAAAAAACATTAGGAATAGTGTTTATAAATTGGGGATTTTTCGTTCCTTCTTGTGGTTGATAGTGTGTAAGGATATATGAGCAAAGGTTGATACTGAGTGAAGGATTGTCGTTGTGGAATGAGATTTGTTGAGTGAAAAGGCGTTGTGAAGTATCTTGCAGTGTGTAAGCTATTGTGGTGGGTGAGCGATAGCGATAACAGTGGTATTTGTTCGAAGTGAAAAGGTGAAAGGTGCGCTTTTTATGAGTTCTTTTATGTAGTTTCGGTCCCCCATGGAGGTATGTTGTCTTCTTGTCCCCTTAGTGTGTCCTGTTGTGGTCCTGTCGTGGTCCCCTTTCTTGTGTTTGTAGTAGTCCCGTTCTTTACTGCCTGTCGTTTTCTTATGCCTACTGTTTGTATGTTTTTGGTCTCCCATGAGTGCGTACTGTTTTGTGTACCTTTAGTGCGTACTGTTTTCGCTTTCGTATTGTTGAATGTGTGGTTGTTGTTTATTGTGTGGTTCTTGCATATTAATTTAAGCATTAAGACAAAATGGAATGTTGTAGGTGAAACATTGATTGCGTGTGATTAAGTTTGTATGCCTACACGTTTAATAGTTGTTAAAAACGTGGGATCTTTACAATGTAGATGCATGTGAAGGTCATTAAATAATGATAGTAGATGCATGTGAAGGTCATTAACCTGTTCCATCTGTAGTCTAACACTTACTTTTATATAGACATATAATAGTTGATAATTAAAGAAAATGTCAGACCCTGATGTTGAGGTGGTGTTTTACCATGGGGGTAAGTTTGTGAATGATGGGTTATTTAGATACCATGGACGTTCTACCAGTACCTTGATGGTTGACACAGACAGATGGAGTTATTTTGAAATCTTGTCCATACTGAAGGAGATGAGATATAGAAATGTTAAGGAGGTGTGGTATTCCCTGGGTGGTTCTGTATTAGAAGCTAGGTTGGAATTGTTAAGTGATGACATATGTGCAATGCATGTGGTCAGCATTGCGATATTGAATGGTCAAGCTCATTTATTTGTGGTTCACACGGTGTCCGAACCAGATTATATAGAAATGTTGGAACATCGTCATGAAGGTGAAGATCACGATGATGAGGTTGGTGAGGTTGGTCAGAATGGTGGTGAAGAAGGAATTGGTGAG